AGTCAGATCTAACTCCATTTATTACTACTCTCTGCTTTATGCTCTTCAGCTAATTTTCTATCCAATTTAATAACATTTCCCCCACACCCACAGATTTCATTGTTGTAACAATCCTTTTGTGAGGCACCTTATCAAATGCTTTCTGAAAATCAAGGTAAGCCAAATCCACAGTATTTTCTTCATCAACTCTTGCAGTAAGATCCTCAAAGAATGTCAGAGATGAAACCATGCTGGCTCTTTGAAACTATATGAAATTGCTTTAAGTGCCTCTGCAATGCATCTTTAATCACACTCTCCAAAACCTTTCCAACTACTGATATAAGACTAACTGGCTTATAATTGCCTGGACAATGTTTATCACCTCCTTTAAATATTGGACTAACGTTAGCCAACTTCCAATCTTCTGATACTCTTTCACTGCTCAATGACCTATAAAAATATTGGCTAGTGGCTCACAAATAAAATCTTTAAGTTCCTTTAAAACTCTAGGATAAACGTTGTCTGGTTCAGGAGACTTATCAATTTTTACGTTTCCCAACTTTCGTCTTACAATTTCAGAACTTAAAATGATATCTTTTACATCAATATTTTTCTCATACATTAAGTGCTCTGGTTGGGGAATAATACTTGTATCTTCCTTCGTAAAAATTGAAGAGCACATATAATCTAACAGGTTTACCATCTCATAATCTTCGGAGATCAGCTCCCCACCTAATCCTCATCCTGACATGTTGCTTACCCTCATATACTTAAATAATTCCATATTGTTTGATTTAACTCTCTCAGCCAACCCTCTTTCATATACAGTTTTTCCCTTTTAACTTCCTTGTTAACCAGCTCTCTTAATTTCCTACAGTCCTCCAAGTCCTTATTATTTCCAGTAAGTTTAAATTTCTTGAATTTATTATCTTTATCCATTAATATGATATCTTAAACCTTTACTAAATCATACTGGCTTGTTCCGCTCGATTGCCCTTTTTTTCTGTAGGGGAATATGTATGTTCTGTAGGCAGATCAATTTTTCCCTAAATGCTTCCCAAATCTATTCAAGATTACCTATAAACTCTTTAGTCCAATCTACATAAGCCAAATCATGTCTCATTCCATCAAAATTGGCTTTCCTGAAATTTGGAATCAGGGTACTATTCTTCCTCAATTCTACATGCAGTAAAATCCCAAACCTAACAGCACAATGTTCGCTTGTACTTAAATGCTCAAAAACCACAACTCTGTCTATCATATTCACAGTGGATGCTAATATTTAATCTAATATAGCTTCCTATCTTGTAGATTCCATCACCAGTTGGTGTATAAAAGTATCCTGAGCAATTTTCAAAAACCTATCCCCCTCACGATCAGATTCGAAATTTCCCCAATCAATACCCCTGAAATTAAAATCTCCCATGATAACAAAATCCTTTTCAGCTACTATTCTGATCTAATTATACAGTTTCTCATTAACATCCACATTCCCACCTGGTGGTCCGTAACAAATCCCAATTACAATACTTTTCCCTTTATATATACTAACACTAATCCAAACTTACTCAACTCAGTGCTATTTTCTTTAACATGTTCTAACTCAACAGGATGCAATTCACTCCTCATATATAAAGCTACCCCTTCCCTTTTTTCAATACTCTATCTGTAGCCTGGTATTTCAAAAAAATTCTCCCATTACAATTATCTCACAAATTCAACCAGCCTATTTGTCCATCCCCACATATTGATCTAAGCGTTTCATTCAATCCTAGTGACCTACTTAGTATCTCATCCCCACAATTTATTCTTGCCAATATCCCTGACAAAATCAAGCTATTGCCCGTTTCCATAAATGCCCTTTTCGATGTTTTATGCTTATCAATAAGCTCCTCAGATCCATCTTTCCTTACATCATTAGCCCCAACAAGTACAACAAAAACTGCATTGCTGCTAGCACCCTTCACTATCTCTCTGGTTATATCCTGTAACCCTGCTCCTGGATAGCATAAACGTATTATTTTGCTTCTATTTACTCCATATACTACTCTATCTACATGCCTATCTAGAGAGTCACCTACAACTATAAATTCCCTATCCTTTACACTATCATCCCTTATTATCCCATCTATTTACATTACTCCCCCCCCCTCATCACTAGCAATGCCTGGAAACGGTTGCCCTATCCCATCCTTTCCCCCAAATGCATTATTTTCCAAGCTTTTAACCCTATTTCCTTTCTTCCCTTGAAATCCTCTTTGTCAACTGTAGCCTTTGCATGCAAAAAGTTTAAGTTCTTCACTAAGCCTCGCTACCACTTCAAGCAATTTACATTTCTCCCATTCCACCTCTGTAACTCTACCAAAAAAAAACCCTACAAATTCTCCTCTAACCTGCACACCCTGCAATTAAGTTGTACATCTTAGCTACTAGGCTCCCTGAAAGTAAACTTTAACCCAAAGTTTATAATATAGAACACTCCTGGTATCTATCACACTTTATCAACTGAGTACCCTTAGTGACTAGACTATTTTAACCATAGCTGATAATTATATTGACAATATTGGTTAAGTTATAAATACGACTAAAAGAAACAAAAATATGTTTTGGAAATATTAAAATCCTTAATATAATTTATTCATTAATTTCATATGAAAAGTTTGATGTTAAGTTTGAAAAGAAAAATCCTTAGTTATCACACCACACACGTGAAAGTCTTTGCAATTCACCTAAAACAATACCACACAATTAAGTAGCATAGAACACAGTTCACCATTATTTTTTGTTTTGTAGTCTTAATTTCATTCGTACCGAAATGAAACTTCGAAATTGAGGTCTTGTCTATTCCTTTTTTATTTTTCAAGTACTTGAGTAGGGTGAGTAATCTAAGTCTCTTAAAGATTAGACATTTAATTTCAACTCGGCTACCTTGGATAAAATAATGATGTATGATTATATAATTCATGTTATTTTTTCTCTTAGTTTCAACAATTGTTTATTATTATTTCCACAAATGAAGAAGGTTTAATAATGTTCTGCAATCAATAAAACTGAAAATTAAAAAATACGCTATAATATATATATATATGAAATGCAGACGTTAGTGCACATTTAGATTTGTTCGTGATGGTCATCAAATAGCAACATCCTATAGACCCTGTGATCCCTGTACCCTTTGTGTGTAGAAGTTTAAGTTCGTCTCACTAGCGACCAGCTGAGTGAACTTTCTTAAAGAAAAAATAAACAGAGCTTGGGATTCTTATTTACTGTCGTGGCAATAATATTTTTATAGTATCTCCGGAGTTTCAAGTTTTTAAATATCTCGTAAACAGCACACAGAAATAATCTTGAATTTCGATGAAACCATCCCTGTCCTTGTGAACGACTTTCAGGCCATCATCTTAATCAGTAAATCGAATTTCCACCAAATACCTCATCTGAACAAGCTCCATTTGTATTATTGTTGTTTCTTATTAAGCACAAAGATACACAAAGGGCTTTTTGTGCTCTGCACACCACAGGTATCAAAGCCCGGTTTCTAACGGTATAAGTGGGACCCACTCGTAATATGGTAACTGGTTTAGCACCGTTATTCTGGTTTCTTACCAAATTGAGTATTTGTATTGTCCATATTTGATGACGAGAAACCCACTTTTAGACAAGAAAATTTGGAGGCGACTTGAATGAGCAATGAATAAAACTTCAATTAAAGTTTAATCCAGTACAAATGTACAACGTTAAGACGAGATTTTGTCATCATCAGGTAAAGTAGTTTACATAGACACAAGAATATAAACACGGTATGGAACAATGAGGCCAAATAACAAGATTACTTAACAGCTTCTTAGTAAAGGTATCTTGGCACTCAAAGGTGTTGGTTTAGAGTAGGGATGTTTTGTTCATTTGAGGTGGCTTTCTTGATTTTGCATTTGTTGGTGTTTAGTTCTATGTTTAAAATTATAGTTTTTAATAAATATATTGCAACAGTGGTAAACATGGTAGAATTTTTATTAAGTTCGGTAAATCTGGTTTCCAATTTTTTTCCGGTTTATCCAATGTAGAATTCTGGGCAGTTATTACACGTTATAATATAAACGACTATGATATTGAAAGATTTTACATGATTTTCACTTAGTGTGGAGAGTTCAATTCGCGTACAAAACTATCACTAATAAACCAGACAACAACACAACATTACACTAAAAACAGTTTTGGATAAAACTTACTATTAAACATAATTCCTGTCGACTTCAAATTCACTCATAAACACAACCCTAAACTCAAATAGTTACTAAATAAATATTATGAGGAATCACACAATACTAACGTCATAACTGCCCAGAATTTTACACTGGTTGGTTGGTTTGTAGTTAAGGACAAAGCTACAAAATGGGCTATCTGTGCTCTGCCCACCACGGGTATCGAAACTTGGTTTCTAGCGTTGTAAGTCCGCTGACATACCACTGTGAGGCCTATTTACATTGGAGAAACCAGAAGAAAACTGGAAACAGATCCACCGAACATATTAAAAAAAACCTCCTATGTTTATTACCATTGCAACTCAAAGAAACTACAATCTTAACACTAATTTTAGACAAAGAACCAAACATTAACCAAGGAAGCTATCTTAATTGAACAAAACAGCTTTATTCTAAATCAACACACTGGGGTTTTCAGCTACCTTTTACAAAGCTGCAAAACAATCACCGGTCATGTGACCTGTTTACTCCATACTATATACAAGTTCCTTTACCTATATTAACTACTTGTATCTGATGATGACAAAACGTTGCATATTTGTTACTAAGTTTGTAATAAAGTTTTCTACAAACCATATCGTGTTGTTCATCTTTACCAAAATGCCACTAATAACGCCATAAAAGGGTCAATTAGAAAAGTAATTTATTGCAGATTCAAAATTTTTAAATCATTTTTTTCTTCAAAAATAATATCTTTTATTGTAGGATTTATAAATAAAATTGTTAAAAAGCAACTATTATAATTTTCTACATTCTCTGTAATGTTTTTATCTCAGGTCTTTTATTACCGATTTCATAATAATGGGTAAATAATGTGGATTTTACTTGAGCACATACACCTTTATTCTTAAAAAAGAGTTCGAATTAATGATAAACGTACTTTGAAATAAATTATACTGAAAATGAAGTTCATTGTCATTCAATAACAGTACCGAATTCTAACCTTGTTTATTAAATATACTTCATTAAACACGTGATATTTTTAATCTCATCTTCAAATTTTCTTTCTCAAACGTCATTCTTTACAATCCATTACACATATTCTTATACTGATCAGCTGAACTCCGTCTTATCAAGATTTAAAAAAATCCACAAGTAATTATTCGTTAACCCTAATAACTGTCGTTATTATGATAATCACGATTGTGGATAAGGAATTACATAAAGATATTGGAAGAGATAAACAATACATAAAACTTACATAAATGGCCACAATTAATGCAGTATGAGTAGAAAACAATATTACGTAAACTGTACTATCATATACAGATTTATACTCAGTGACAATCTTAAGTTCTTTTGTCAGGAAGAGAATATTAAGAATGTACTACTTAAATAACTATTTATTTAGCATAATGTACAATCAGTGTGATATTACAAGTATAAAAACCATGTGTTCCAGTACTTTGATCTCAAATATGATAACAGCAAAAATATTTTTCTCTTTAAGATCATAACAAAATGATCCTGTCCAACAGAATTTACTAGAAGAGGATTTAAATCATAAATAATGAATGCACTCAACGTCTATACTTTCTTATGTTATAAATCCACCTGTGTAAGACTAAATAACTTAATGTAATACATAAATAAGTAACAAAATCATTTGCACATTGTATTTATATTCAAAATCAAACAGATAAATACATATGGTTCCCTGTTAAAAATCTATTCCAAGTATTTTAATACAAACAATAAACAAATGCAACAACATCATGATAAAATCTTAAAATAAAAATTAAATGGTTAAGATCATTAAAGAGAAGAAAAGTAACAGTTGTGCAGTCAATGTTTTGTAGAAAAAAAAACAAATAATCACCCAAAACATTGACTACATAATTGTTATTCCTCATTTCTTTGAATTACTAGTGAAGACTGTAATCTACATTATCTACTTCTTGAACATTCTAACATCCTAAAGAAACCACAATTTATCTGCATGTATTTAAATAATTACCCATTCTGTAGTTAGTTAAATCATATATATATATATATATAAAACAACTGATAGCATATTCTTTTAAACAACTCTTGAAAAATTTATTACAGAAATATATTTTTGAAAACTATATACAAAATAACTACTTCATACTACACAAAAATTTAAATTGTACTTGTAATATTAGTAAAAGCTCATTAAAAGGCAGAGGACAAACTCATTTCAACTCCAATTAAAAATGGAAACTCTCTCTTAATTCCAGAAAATAAAATGTAGGAGCTTGTTTAAGGAACACTTTCTATTACCTGGGTTGTCTGAGATCGGATTTTATTAAATGTTAACCTCATATTAGATAAATGTTCTGTTCTTAAATAATTGAATTTACAGGATATTTACACCAGTAAAAGGTAAAACATGACATTAGTGATCATGAAAAATATTGCTCTCAAAAGGTGACCCAACAGATATAGTCGCAAAACTGTTATATGTGACAACAGTTCAAGATTCAAAATACTAACTATACTAACAGTCATACATTATTTGTGAACTCCAGCTGAAAGGCATTTGAGATACTTATTAACTTTAAAATTTACAGGAAACCACGAAAAAAAGGGTCTTATTATTATGAATTTATTTAAAATCAAAATAGTGTAGTTTGTATCTTACACAAAGAATCTTTATTTTTACAGTCTAGAAACATCCATTTGACCCTTCCAGGTCAATTTATAATTAAGTTCTTTGTTTATTTCTTTTCTGCATCACACATGAATTTCAATGAAGAAAAGACGAAGCAGAGCTCTACTCTATTCTTTGACTTGCTACTCTCACTGCAACAAGTTGGTTTTGGAAGATTCATGGTCATCATCATCAGTGATGCTTGGAAAATTGAAGCAAATAAACAAAGTAGGCCTCATGTAATACTAAATAAATAAATAAGCAGTTAATTCACTAAATAATAATGGATAATTAATTGTGATGGTATGTTACATGTTAATCAAACACATATTTTAGGATATTACTGGTGAGTAATGGACTATATACCTAAACCAATTAAGTTTTTTGCCAAACTCAGACTACCTGTCACATGTACATGTGCATAAAATCATATATTTCAGCCAATACACATACTAAAATATTTGATAACTTATTTTTGTCTTTAACTAGCATAATGATAACATTCAACCTTACTTTCTTTTTTGTGTTCACATTATAATGTAATCAATCCTAGTGAAGCTTTTTCAATCACAGGAAAGAATAAAATTGATTGCTCACAAGGACACCTTTTTTTTTTTTAAATATACTGGGTGAACAAAAAAATTATTCATCCAAAAATAAAACATCACAAATGAAAAATTATGAATTCAAAGGTGCTGTAACTAATGTTATCAAGTTTCTCATCACCAGGTGGCAAGTCAGTTGCATCAATAACAACATGGCATCCATGCAGGGATAAGCAAAATGCATATAACTCCAAGTCAAGTTTGAAAGCATAATGTATGTTCTATCCCTATTATTTCCTGGACATGTGAAGGTGCAACTGCTTGTATGGTACTTGACATTTTGTAAAGTTTTGACATCGTCACATCCTTCATTTTTATGTTTATTTTATGACATTTTATATTTGGATGTGTGTATATATATATATATTCACACATTAAGATTGTTTAACAGATATTCATTTAATGGTTTTGATTACAAACAAGTACAATAACTTGAAAACTACTTAAAATAGTTTTTCATAATTACAGATACCCCAATAAAACAGTACAAGATGTGGATATTTATAACCAACAGAGATAATACAATACTGTGTTGAAATCCAGTATAATCATACCCTGTGGTGTAAAAAAGTTTCAAGTTGTACTATGCTAGGGAAAACTTTGCCTTTAGGATATCAACAGACTGTGCTGGTATTGCAGCCTTATTCTGTGTGAAGAAGAAAAGTAACCGAAATTCCTCACTTTCTAGATAATTCTGTTATTTCAATTACCTCTACATAATAACTTAAAATTACTGTAGTTATTGCAAGTTATTAGCACTGATCTATCCTTTCTACTTGAAAATACCAATTCTTCATGATATCAGTTAGCCAGTTCTATTTTAATCCAATATCTTCTGATGATAATGCTTACAATATGACAATTCTAATCCAAGGCACCAACTCAAGATGTGTCCATCAGTAGACAGGTCCTTCATGACCTGCACCTTGCTGGATAGAAGCAGACAAAACATGGGTCTTGTAGTGCATACTGAGACCTGTCATCCAAAACTTCAAAAGCTACAATGAAAAAAAAAACAGCTTTGATATAACTTCAGCAAATTTAATTTTTTTATCTAACCAGGAATCATTAGATTAAATTAATAATTAATTTAACCAGACAGATAGAAAACTAATTATTGTGTAATTTATTAATGTCTAAAAGATCAATATGATCTCATTCTCAAAAAAATGTTCACAAAGGTTAAAATACAATCATGTAATTTTTGTACTATGGTGTATATAATTAATATGAAAAACAAACACTATTATAAGGGATAGTAGAAATTAATAGTTAAAATATTTAATTTACATTAAATTAGATTAATAGTAGAGAATAATACTGGAATTGATATGTAAACTCACTACAGCCTCATTATATTGTGCACAGTTGTTCTGATTAATAAGTCATTTAAAAGACTAAGAAAGTGGCAGAAAACTTAAAAGTTTTTGTTGAAATGGACAGTCTGAAACTAAACAATAATTCAACTTTCTCCTATAACTCCTTCCTATCATTAATGAAAAATGATAACCATGTTCATAATTCATAAAGAACACTCATAATACTTTCTTTCTTTCAAAGAATTTATCTTCATTGTGGTTGCTTCTCTATGTATACTATCATACCTCATAATAATGGCTCACTTGCCGTAAAGTGGTGACGTGCTGGTTACCCAACATAATGGTATTACCATGATACAAATTTCTGGCCATAAAATTATTATGTCATTTAAAGAATATTGAACTACCACATATATTGGAATATTGTGGTAAACTATATATTTACTTATTATTTTATGCATCCATATAGTATAAAATCATTCATGATTAAACATTTGTTATTATAAAACATTATGTTAAACTACCCATAAAAATATAAGGTCGATTTTTTCATACAAGTACTACTCTTCTAGTTAACATGAATAAGCTTTTGGAAGTGTATGTTGCATTTTATTAACTCCTTATACTCAAACAGATGCTAACAGCTTCCAGCCGAAAATTCAAATTTACCCATCCGAAAGTGACTCCAAATGCTCAACAGGGAGAAGTTTGAGGCTATTTACTCAACAATGCTTTGTGTGGGTACCCATGATGCTGAATGGAAAAACAAATGTAAAAAATTTAAAATTTTATAATTTTATAATTATTAGAAGGTCGTGAAAATGATTCCATGAGAATGCTCAAAACTGATGGGTTAAAGATTTACTTATGACGTGACCAAGGTCCATGTAGGCATTCAAAACTAACAGTCAATTGGTTGTATGTCTTTATCTAGCTCTTGTTTACAAGGACGAAAATTATTTACTTAACAAGTTTTTCAAAACAAATAAATAAATGCTGCATTTATTGTGCTCAACTGCTCCTATAAATGAAGTATTTTTTTTATTTCATATGTTTTTATCACTTTAAACACAGAATTTCAGTACTTGAATGTGAAGGTTGTTAGTCTACTTTAAAGCATATTCAAAATCAGCCTTTACTCTATAGACAATTTTTATGATACTCATACAGTTCTTGTCAATGAACTGAAAAATCATTGCTGTAAAAAAAAAACCCAAAAAAATGCTTTCATATTCTGTGCATTGAGAACACAAAGATTTGGTAATTTATAATAAAATATTGTGAAGCAACTGACAATAAAATAATTTCAAGATGGAATTAAAACACAACCCTCTCTTTATACATTTTAATAATTTTATCATGATCTTTACCATGTTGACTTTTTGCCTGACATAATTTTAAGTGACTTCTTAACACTGCTATAACAAATTTACATTTACATATTATTAGGTATCATGCTGTTACTCAATACAATGAAATGTTTATGTGTTAATGTTTTCTTTCACGACAAGTTGTCATATGGTGAAACATTCCCGATTTTCTTTGTACAGGCACATCCTTAACCCATAAAATCTTTCTGATTGTCAAACTGCACTTCAATCACTCATAAATGCTGAACTTTGACAATGGGAAATTGCTTTAAACATAAATGGTTTAAGTCATAATAAAAAAGGTCATAATGAATGTTATTTGACCAAAACATCAATCACTCAATTCTTTTTCACTTGCAGTTATTTTAATAATTTCTTTATGATGTCTGAAAATAGAATTGAATTAACCATTCAAATAAGAGCTTTTGTAATTACACTACCAAGCTCCCCGTTATGGACACACAGAAGAGCTACAGACCTGATGGAGATATAAAGAAGCAGGTCAAAATATAATCTAATCAACATTTCACCAGGCAGATTATCCATTTCAATTGCTTTCAAATAGAATATTTTTTATAAAGTAGTGTTTCATCTTTTGTCTTCATATCAAATTCTGTATATTAAAGTATTTCAAATTAATTGTAAACTATGTGAAAAATGTATTTGTATTAAGGATAGATTTTAGAATTAGTTTTGAAGCTACCAGTGAACAAAAAGTTAAATAATAGTTTGTCAGAAATAATAATAATAAGTATGAACAAGAGGAAAGAGGTGAATCCTGAAACAAAATAACTGGAAAATAACACAAAATAAAACCAAAGAAGTGTATGAACAAGTTTAGAACTCAATCTAATCACATTCAAAGTTTGAAACAGAATAACTGGATGATAACAAAAAAATACAGCTAAAGTACCAAGGAAATGTTTTCAATTTAGCCAGTAACAATCAAGTCAGAGGAAGTATTTAGAACATTTCATCCTCTCAAAATTATCTATACCATAATATTTGAAACTAAGAGCAAATCAAGTAAATTATTTTACTTTATTCAAACATAAGAATTTTTAGCCCATTCCCCATGGAAAGCAAGTGTAGTCGACAGAAGATTATTTGTCGTTGACAGCAAAGATCGACTTTCTTCCATAACTATCAAAAATATTTTCCCTCTACAGCGAAAAGTGACAACCCTCCTCAAACTTAAATCGACCAACAGACAGCAGTTGTGTTGACATCTGAGAGCATAAGTGCGAAACACAAGTATATACAATCCCTCAGCTGGGGCACCAGCTAGCAGATAATGCAAGGCACCCATGTCACTCACACACAGATATATCAGCTGATTGTCATATTTTCTCTGTGTTTTTACCATAATGTAGGTAAGTTATTAACATGCAATGTAAGTGTGTCTTATATATCATAATACAGCAAAATATTCTGCTACTTTATGATTGGGGATTTACTAATTATGCAGTGAAAGGGTTAAGAGGAAAAATTCTGAAATTAAAGATTGCCAAATTATACTTGACCTTTATATATTAAAAACCTAAATAATCAAATTAATTCTTCTGCCTCTGAAGCCACTGTTTGGAAAACACTGCTAATACAAAGTAAATAGATTATAAAGTATAGTTTGTTATGAAACAAACCTGTAACTGCAAAATTGAGTGTTGAAAATAATGTTTCACAACTTTATCTATTACACTTTACACTGATATCGAGATAAATTTTATATGATTTATGATTATTAGTTTAAAGATAAAAAAATACAGAGGTTGAAATGTCTATAAGATATTATGCTTCCTAAGAAAGAAAAATATTGATTAAAATTTTCTATATTATTGTAAAACTTGTGATCCAACCTTTGGAATAAAATTATATTTCCATGCTAACTCCATATTATATTCACTTGCTGCAAGCTTTGAGATCATTCACAAATTTCTTTTCAGATGAGAGTCATCTAACAAAGTTCCTTATCTGAAGAAGAGTTATGAATGAGCTTGAAAACGTGCAACAAACATTGTAGAATTACTTTAGAGGCATAATTTTTTTTCTCACACTTAAATTATCAAACAAGTCTTTGTAGTTTCAACAAAAAAATTAACACTAACTTCTTTATCATAGTCATAAGCTCCTAGAACCTGAAGTAGTTTATTGGCCTCTTCTGATGACCTCTGACCAGCACGTGAAAATGTGAACAAGACCTTCACTTTGCTAGAAAATAATTCATACGTTCACGATAAAATAACTTATTTCAGACATATTTCATATTAATAATGCTGAATACCACTTAACATCAATAAACATATTAAGAATAAATAGAAAAAATTCAAGTCATCACATAGTGTGTGTGAATAATTATATGCAAATCTGGTAGACTAATAACAGATACTTACTATCACACATTTTTTGGATAATGCTAACAAAGTTATCATCTTAATTTTTGTACATGTGAACAGTACTCAGTCATAATATTGATCTGGATTTCAAGGTTCTGAATTGTCTTTCCAAATTTCAAAACAAAGGCATGACTCCACTTAAGTTTAATCATATTAAATAGATGTTATCACTTAACTAATTACAGATCAAGTACAGCTTGTTTCTGAAGAAGGAAACAAGTAAATTCAATCTACATTCAATCTACAAAACAGACATTTTATACAAAAAAAACAGCCAATAGATACTAAAATAAAATGTATAACTTATGTTTACACATTTGCAATATGTTCAGAAGGTACAATACCAGATGCTATAAACAAGTGTAATTTAAATTTTTAAGCATTGAAAAAGTCAACATTGGTAATCCAAAAATTACTTTTATTAATAGTTTAACTAAATATAAAGCACCATGAAAAAAACTATTAAAATTTTTATGGAAATTTTTTGAATTTTCCAAAAATATGGCTTGTAAAAGTAGTTTTTCTGACTTATTTAATCTGACAAAATCAATCATAGCTACGAAATTATACCAGTTGTACATGACTGTTATTCGAATATCAGTTTTTGTTACAAAGGCATATTTATATTACACTAGCTATGTTTTTCGTATCTTACTTCATCCAGACTTCTTTGATGGTGAACAGAAATGTTTCCAAGGAAGATTTTGAAAATGTAGGATTCTGTATGGCCCTTTCCATTTCGGTGAGTACTTGAGGAACTGTAACATGATTAAGAATGTTAGAAATACCTGAAGTCTGCACATTGTATAAAATTTTGCAATAAATTCAAAACCACTTTTAAGATCAAAAATATTAAAATCCACTTTGGAAACATACAAACTTTGATTTTATTTTACTTGATGATAATAAAAAATCAACATTTTATCTTTTAAAAATTATTAGTAAAAATTATTCTATTAGTAATCATCATTTATGCCTAAAAGAGCATCTGTTAAAGTCTACATCAGCTAAAACTTGAAGGCATAGACTAAAATATTATACTTTTTTCTGGTAGTTTTCCATTGAAGTGCAAAGTGAACTCATAATCCCCAATATTTCTGCTTGAAGAATCCTTCTGTGATGAATTTATACAAACATTTATGCAAAGGTGTAAACTAGAGGACAAGACGTGAGAAGGGATTTGAACTTCCTCATTAAGACTCAAAACGTTACATTTCCATGAATCTTCATAAATGTTACTGTTCAGCACGGGATGAAAACATCCTCTTGGAAGTAGATCCTACAGAATAACAATTAATATTGACTTTACACAATTAGGTATATATGAGTAACTGCTTTAAATGTATCAATTTAAAGATGAAATTGAAAAATTGATATATATATATATATATAAAACATTGATAACTTCTAAAAAACACATATCACTTCAATATATGACTTACAATAACTCTTCTCCTTTGATATAGGAAGGAACAGCCAAATTTTTGTATGCTATCAGTCCACTCATTCAATTTTGTAAATAATATGATTTTTTAATGACTTAAAGTTGATGAAATACATTTTAAAGCTATGTATAGTTCTAGCTCATGAAGAGGCTCTAAACTGCATGCTAAACAAACCTTGTCACTTAACAAGACTTAAGTTTCCTAGTTACCTGAGAAAAACAACTCTTCTGTCTTTTACTAGTTTTTTTATGCATTCTATGCAGATTTTGAAACAAAATGAGTTATTTCACACTTCCCAATAAAGATAAGTCTTTAAACCAATGTTCAATATAAACCTGTTATTAACATAATGTTGACCAAGAACATCAAGTTTATTTATGTTCTGCCTTTGCAGATGCTGTTTTGTAATTATTACAGTTGAAAATAGTACAAGTATGAAATAAATAGAAAGTTATGAAAATTTGTGGAAACTATGAATATCATTGTTGACAAATTAACCTTAATTATCTTTATGCAGATCAGTAGTGATCATTTCCTTTAAAATGGTGGGAATTACAAACTTCAGTTACAAAATAGGATAATTCACAATTACTCATGAAGAAATGTCAGGAATTGTTTTCTGATCAGAAAGTTGGGAAGAGGGCTAAAATCACGAATTTCTATCAAACTGAAAACATTATTAGGTTTAGTTGAATATGATAAGACCCTTACAAGATTATTCATGAATTAACAATACAGAAATGATTAAAATTCTGTAGCATATCAACTACATAAAAATGAACATTAATGTAAAAGTCAAAATTAAAAAATATCTGCCTGATATTCATTTTGAGCAAAATACATTCATTCATAATCATTATTATACTCAAAACATGTAACACCTATTAAAGCTTCCTTTCTATCAATGTTTTAAAGATAGAAAAAACAATAAGTCATCACGTTTTGATTCACAAATTAAATGCACTTTTCCCACTTCACCTACAATTCGCAATTCACTGGTCTTATGCTCAATCTACATGTTTAAAGCATCCATATTGTGAAATTGTCCATTTCATGAAATGACTTTATATCATGTAGTAGCTTTGCAAGGATTCTCAGTTTAATCTCAGAAAAAATATTAAGTAATCAAAAATTGCTCAGGCCATTCCACGGACACACAGAACAGCCTAAAAGAGGCCTAGTACTTAATACCTAAAAACAAAGCTTCACTTTTACACTTATTAAATAAAAATTCATTACAAATCTATAGTGTTGTTTATATCACATTGTAAAATTAAAAGTTATTACATGATGTGGAGCAACTTTTTGAAATGGACAATTCCACAGTGTGGTGCAACATATTTATTCAAAGAGCATTTATCAATACCTTTCTCGTGTATTAGTCTTTTGTAAAGAAGGCCAAAAGCTACGATTTTTTGTTTGTTTTTTGAATTTCATGCAAAGCTACTCAAGGGCTATGTGCACTAGCTGTCCCTAATTATCAGTGATAGACTAGAAGGAAGGCAGATAGCCAGTACCACTCACCACCAACTCTTGGGCTTCTCTTTTACCAAAGAATAGTGGGACTGACCCTCACATTATAGCTTCCCAAGGCTGAAAGGGCAAGCATGTTTGGTGACGAGAATTTAATCCTGCAACCCTCAAATTGTGAGTCGAGTCCTTTAACCACCAGGCCATGCCAGACCTTAATAACTAAGAAGCCTCTTTCTTTTTTCTCTTCATTTCTCCTCCCTTCCTTTGTTTACTACAGTTTTTAATTGAATTATCAATTTCAAGTTACTTTTATACCTGTTGAATGTTTTGCTTAAGTTTATTTGCCAAGCTTTTCAGAGGAAAATTTTATATACCCATTAAAACTGGTAATTAAATACTTTTTGTAAAGTAAAATGAATAAAAAAATTATAAGAATTAAATGATGATTAGTTATTAACAGTGCTGAATACTGTAAACACTTAGCTTTTAATAATGAGAGCTATTATAAAAATCAAGCTGTAAACAATGTGTTTTCTGGAGAAGAAGTCAATTAAATCGGCAAAAATTCAATGGGATAAAATTAGGTAAAGATAGATAAGTATGATATATGTCACACATTTTAACCTAAGATTTTTTGTCAATTTCAATTAACTGAAATGTTATATCTTACCTTGAGGCACAAAATAACAGATGAAATAAGAGACCGAGGTTTTCCTCTGAAAATTAATTGATTGCCAATCACTATGTTGTAAGCAAGTGTGTGAAATTTCTCTTTCCCTAAGATCTAAAAAACAATAAAATTAAATAAATCAGTATTTGTTTTACCATACTTTTAAAAAAATAGCTGTGATAAATCATACAATATAATTTACAACATTCTTTGAAAGAAATAACTTAAAAAAAGAATTCAGTATCAACCTCTTAACATACATACTGTGGACTAGTATAGGAGATATTATACATATTTGGAATCTAATATTTATCAACTCTCAAATTATTGCCTTCTTTTTATACCATTCACTACCAAAAGAATTCTCATACTGCATCTTATTCATTAATTTTATGTTTATAGTTCATAGTTTAATCAAGGCACTTGAAATATGGTTCTGTTGTGGTTGTAGTTTTTTAACTCAAAATTAGTAATTTTTTTTGTCACACTTAAATTTGTATATTACACTTAAATCTTTAAGATTTTAACAGACTTTGTGTTGAGACAATGATATGTATTTTATAATTTGGATTATATTAAAATATTTGGCTCACTTGAGATACTCTGCATAAATATTTTATTTAAGAAAATGTGGTAGGACAACCAAAGATAATTTGTGAAAACATGAATAACATATCAAAAGTGTAAATTAAAGTTGAATATCTGTAAAATTTTGACTTGATACCAAAGTTTTGTAATATAAAAATTGTATCTTTAAGATTTAAGAAGTTCAGACAGTTTTTTAAATACAGAAATAAAGTTTAAAGAAAAACTGAGAAGGATTTAGAGAAGCTACTTGGAATATATAGACAATAAGTTAAAATCTTGATTAATAATGTGGATTAAATATAAAAAAGTAACAATTATTTGTTGAAAATGAGAATAAATCAATTAAAAAATTGGAAGAGAACTCAATATAACTCAATATGACGGTTGTTTGCTTGTGAAACCCGATGATGTTATTCAGAACCTACCTAACTATAAATTCAAAGATACAGAACAAAAACTTATGTCAGAATTTAAGGACTGTATGATATTTTTAAAAAGTTATAATTTTAGAATTATCTCTTACTGTTCGAATAATTAATTAAGGAACTGAGGTATTTTGAAGTGTATCCAACACCTACAGATATATCTTTACATAACATAGTAAGTAGTATTGGTCTAACTGGTCTACACACCCATAACTTTAACCATAAGCCATAGAATATTGGATTATTGGTATTGGAAGTTTTAAAAACTTATTAAGAATAATAACTATACAGTTACAAATAACTAATTTGGAACAGATTTGACTATAATAAAAATGTTTTGGATATTTTAAATGGTAAAACAAAATCTAAGAAAATTGAGGAACATCCCACTAAAACTAAAGACAGACAGACTAATCAGATTTCATGTAAAAAAATATATATTTATATAATTTGTTTTGGTGGTGGTAAATCAAACCATTAACTGGCTGAACACAAGGTAATATGATGTTCATACTCTTAGTAAAAAGCCTTAAGAATAAACAGTGACAGGGAAAACTTGTTCTCTTACAAAGAAATCATGTTAACTACATGTGCACAGCATCAGGCTACTGGTCTGACCTTGTTCCTGTGAAGCTATACATAAAAATGTTTACTATAAATCTGATTTTACTAATTGTATCTTCCCAAAATTGGGCAAATTTTGATAATAAAGTATTCTTACGGAAGATTATTCTGGGAATTTACAAAGCCTATAATGAGTCAGTCTGACTAATATTCTGACTAGTCTGAGTGTAAGGTGATTTTTATCTATAGTAATAAAACAGCCTCTACACACACACACACACACACACAGGTCAGTCAATCAATGCCATAGCTCAAAGAGGAAGGAACCTACAGACCTGATACTAAGGAAATTCTGAGGGTATGCACCTGGGTGTTTTTTTTCCCAAAAAACATTTTGGCCAATTTTTTTGGCCTATAATTTTGCCCTATAGCCCTTAAGCCATGAAAAGAGAAAAGTATATGCTACCATCTGTCACTTGGTACAACAAACTGTAAATTGTTATGGAATAAGCATTTAATAATAATCACAATTTTATAACAACAGGTTTTAAAAAAAAATTTTTTTTCGTTTTTACTTCTGATTTCCAAATTGATAAAAATTCTTTTTTAATATGTCATTATTACCTGTGCAGACAAAAAAAAAAACAAATTTGAAATAAGGTCAATTTTTTTTCGTTTATTAAAAATGATTTTTAAAAAATTGAAGGAGATACAAATGATGCAAAACTTTCTTCATTAATTTTACAAAAATCACTTTTGAATGAGCAGTGCAGCTGTGAGTTTCACTAGAAAGTGAGAGGAGGGGAAACACCTACTCAGGAAGAGTATCACAGGAGTATATTTTCAATCATGCTTAACTGGACCCTAAAAAATGTTATTTAAGACTCATAATGAAGGTAAATTAATAAGTACAATTATACACAGACTTTTATCAATGTTAAAATAGTTTCATTTGCATGTTTTTGACCCTCTTACCAAGGCCTTCATCAGGCAACAATGTACTGAGCGATAAAAATTCATTAACTGTGGAACTCCGTTTTAAAATAAGTACCTAGGCAACAGTCACGACAATAACTGACTTCTGGTATTAAATACATAGAATTATGATGAAAAGAGAATATAAATCGATTACTTTGATATAATAAACATAAAGAAGTTAAAATTTTCTTATACTGAAAATGTATTTCCAATCGGTACTTACCTCTACTCACATAAATAACTATTCTCATTCAGTGCTGCCCTCTACATGCAAAATGTTTTTCACATGTCACAAGCCTTGAGCTCCCATGTATGCTATGTTCAACATGGTTCAAGTGCATCTTGCATGTAAATCCTCATGTGACAACCCTCCACCTGATGCATGTGACTCACTCTCTTCAGTTCTACTGTACTATCACATCGAGTTTTGGCAGAAAATGGAAGCTCCGGTTTTCAGCGGGAAGGAAAGGTAGGAAGTGTGAGAAGAGGCAAGTACCTCTTGGAAATACATTTTTAGTATAGGAAAATTATAACTTCCTATACAGTATACTCCCTTCAAACACATAAATAGCTAGAATCCCACATTGAATAGGTGGAGGGACCTGTACAAGGAAAAGAAAGAAGCATCCTTTGAAAGTGTCTGAATAGCACCCTAAAGAGGAGATCCTTGCATTAGAAGGTCATATATGGGAGACCTCACCACTTCTGTATCAGGTATACTCTTCACTCAGTGGGAAAAGAGGTGACTCAGACATGGGCAGAAAATGGGAGGAGCACATCCAAAAGGGAGAAAACAATTGATGGATAGGGATCCAAACCACACAATATCTGAATCTCAATCCCATAGATTACATGAATGTGGGTGAGAATAAAAAGGATGTGTCCCTCGGTGTAAAGTGATTAGGGTGTGAAGGACCATACACAGCAAGTCAACTGCATCCAAAACCCAGTTGCAGGGAAGTGACATCCATGTGGGGATAGTATGAGGATCATACCATTAGTAAATCAATTACAATCCAAAACCTAGTCACTGGGAACTGACATCCATGTGGGGGTAGGAAAGAGGATCATACTGCCAGCAAGTCAACTACAATCCAAAACCAGCCACTGGGAACCAACATCCATGTGGGGGATAGGAAAAAGGATCATACCAGTGGCAAATCCAAAATCCAGGCATCTGTGGGAGTAGGAAAGAGGATCATATCATCTTCACCTCAAGTTCAGCAGACTAGAGAAAAATCTCGCACCCACCGATCTGTGAATGAGACACGTGATAGTAATATGATAAATTATTTGACTGATCCTAGAACCCAACCTCTGGACGACGGGCATAAAAGATGTCCCTGTAAAGTAAACACTTCCACTCAAACCCAATTTGACAGAAATCACTGTCAGTGCAAAAACATCCTCGATATCCGAAAATCATCAAGCAATAGTGTAAGAGGAAGCACTCTATTAATCTGCAAGTACCACCACCATGACCCACAACACGAGTGAAGTGAACAACAGTATAATTGAGTGAGGGGATAGAAACACCTGTAATACATGTATGACAACTTATGTTGATTGGTTCAGCTCTGAACCAAAACCCAGCCACTGGGAATCACATCCATGGGGCATAGGATGAGAGATCCAAATCAAAGGGGTGAACTGCAACTTTGAGAACTCACTCCAAACCTACAACTTCCCATCAGATAAACCCCCTACAGAGATGGAGCATCAGGTTGGAGGCCATCTCATCATCTACACCAGCAGAACACCACTGCCCTACTCTCAAATGAATGGTTTCATCATTGTTTGTACTGTATATCACTATCACATTCAGAAGGACACCTCCATGGCCCACCACCCAAGCAGCTTGGAACTGGAAAGTGGTAAGGACTCCCATACTCCACTGGAAGAGAAAGGAGTGAGAAAATGTGGTGGAGAGTCCAGAGGAACATTGACACCAGAGACAGTGCAACAGGTGATCACAAGAACCCTATGTTGAAAAGCAAACCTTACGAGATTTATTCAATCAAAGGAATAGCAGAAATGGGCAATTATACCCTTCTGCTTTACCCAGGAAGTCCATGGGTAAGTACAGTTCGGAATGGGCATATTAAAGAAGCAAATCAATATCAAGAGGAAAAACCTGTGAGTGATCTTGTGGAACACCCCATCTCAACAGTGAGCAGTAAGAAGTGGAACAGTGGGTCAAGCAGGTGAAAATCCCTGACCCAAAGACAATGGCGGAAAACATGGCATGGATGACCAAACTAACCCTGGGAAGATGAAGGATGGGAGGATACACATAAAGGTATTTGTTGGTCCAATCCTGACTGAATGCATCGACAGCCAGTGCAATTGGATGAAGAACCAGAGATGAAAACAGGTAATTTGGTATTGAGGGGGTGTGGCAAATTCATCAAGGTGAAGAGTACCTCACCGAAGGCATAGCCTATGGAAAATGAGAGGACCAAGAGAACACCCCATCAAATAAACTTTATCAGGGTGGTAAAAATTGAATGCATCCAGAACATGGCATGCAAGGAAGCAAATACCGAGCAACGAGATCCCAGGTTTGACCACAAAGGGAATGAGAATGGGTGCTGACTTGGTGAGTAATATAAGCCACCACCATAAAATTGTCAGAATTGGTCATAACCAGAAGGATCCTGGTAAGATGAAGAAAATGATCCAAAGAACGATGTATTGCCAGAAACTCTAGCATGTTGATATGGTAAGATCACTCGACTGGAGACCACAGACTTAAAGTTTCCTGCTGATTGACTCATGCCCTCCCATCCCCTGGAAGAAAGCATTCGTGAAGATATGCAAATCTGGACATGGGGAGGAAGCGGAACACCTGCCAATGTGGGAGCCCTGTCCAATCACCAATGAAGGTTGTTGACAAGGGAAGGTGGACGTGAATTAGGAGCCTCTAATGGAACCCATGCAAGGTTCCACTGGTTGTGCAGGGCCCACTGAAGAGACCTCATATGTGCCCAACCAAAAAGGAATAAGGACTTCCATAGCTGACCACATCTCCAAAAGCAATAGAACCTTGCAAGAAGTAATAGAGGGAGCAGTCAGGGCATGGAGAACTGAAAGCTCAATCGAATGGAATCAAAGAGGAGAAGGTTGTACCCAACTGAGATGAGTGTTGAAAAAACACCCAAGTGGACAAGATATTGGGTAGGTATAAGGAATGACTTCTACAACTTGATTAACCAACCCATATGAGCTACCTCCAGGAGCAGCAGATGAGTGTGATGGGTGGACTTCTGTTTGGAATGAGCTAACAGAAGCCAGTCATCCATGTAATGGTGTAAGCACAACCCCCGTGCATGCATATGTTGAGTGAAAGCCTTGACCCTTCGATAAAACACATACGGGGCCACAGCAAGCCCAAGAGGAGGGTGTGAAACAGATAAACTACCCTGTGATGAACAAACTGAAAATAGCACTTCAACAGGCAAGATATAAGAATATGCAGATAAACATTCATGACATCTACCTTGGTCATCCCATAAACTTGGAGAAAAAGCCCACCTGAGGGTAAGAAAGGATTCCATGGTAAATCGAGACAGATTCAAAAACTGACTGAGGAAGGACAAACTGATCACAGGCCACCAATCCCTGGTAGTCTTGGGTACTACAAACAGCCTGTAATAAAAACCTGGAGAAGTATGAGTTATAGATTCAATGGCTTTCTGGGAGAGAAGATTTTATACCACATCTGAAAAACATTGACTGGTGGTAGGATCCCAGGCAATGGAAAGGATATGAGTACTGGAGACAATGGAGAAGGGGGAGAGGTAGAGGAGGAGAAGTCCCTTGGATAGTACCAGGATAACACACTGATCTGTGGCAAAAACTCCCCATATGGGAAAAAAATTGGTCAATTGAGCCTCCGCTGGATCGGAACTCACTGGGTAGTCACTGGTACTGTTGGTGACATGTCCAATGGCATTGAATAATAATACAAGGAGAGGAGAAATCCTTGGCTTGTCTAGGCTCAGAATGAGACAAACAATCAACCAAAGATGAAAGGGTCGATTGTTGTTTCACCCATTCCACACAGGATACCAAAGTCTCCGGAATATTTCCAAAAACAGACCGTCAGAAAAAGGGGGCCATATGTAATTTCTGGAGATAAGTAGGTCACAAATGAACTTGGGACAATACATCATCCCTCCCCAGAAGATCCCAACAACAGAAAAACCACCTGTGTAAGGAAAGAGCCTAAGAAGACAAACATGCCAACATGGAGGTTATCAGGGAGAAGCTTTCTCCCGATAAACCATTATGATCGCGGTGGAGCACCTTTGGATAGGAAGTGGATAGTAGAAAAGTACGATAGGAGAGTTGATAGGGCAAAATGAAGGCAGGAAAACTGGGCATGGAACAAACAAACAGGATGATCATGGTCTGCCACCCACATGAGCAAAATTGATTCCAACTGTTGAGAATCAAGAAACGAACATTCAGCCTGATGGTATGCTAAAGCAAACTGATCTGAAGCCTGTGGAGGGCGAGGCATGCTAGCGCCATCAACCAACTGAGGAACAAAACACTCTGCATAAACCCTAATATCCAGGGAAGGGGGAAACACAAAACTCTGAGAGAAGGGAGTATCATGTAACAAAGAATGAAGGGGATTATAGGAAACCAAGGTAATGGACAAAACAGAACATACCTGAGAAATCATTTTTAAAAAAGCCGTATTAGGTCTAGCTGATTCTGCAGTAGATGCATACAAAGACATGGCAAAATCAGGTGAAGGAAAAAGGCTGTCAAATTCCTTGTCAACCCAAACAGGTTTGGCATATTCAGGAGAAATATGAACAACATCAGGAGAAGCAGGCTGACTCCTATAATGATCAATATCATACCGGATGAGAGCCAACAATTCCACATCTGAGTTACCCTCACCTGAAGCCTTTGTAAATGTCCTGGTAGACAGTATTACCTCCAAAGTGGAAACTTAAACTTCAGAATTCATTATTAACAATAAGTGATCAATGACAACAGTGTTAGAATAAAGAAACAAAACTGGGAAAATTAAGTTATCTTTAAGTTTGCAAACTGTTTTAAAATTGAAAAGAACAATTCCACTTCAGAATGAATGGCAAAAAAAAAGCAATGAGTTTGAAGAACTCTGTATTGCTGTATTGCCTGACTAACTTTCTTATACTAATAAGAAAGGATAAAAGACAATATTCGTTGTGTTGAATAAAAGTTATAAATTACATGATCTGTAAACAATCACAGCAAATACTTGCAAAATAAATACATATACACATACTTTTGCTACACAATTTACATTACATTCGTCAACAGTTGTAACAAAGGCTACCAGATTATATCCTCCACTAAATTATGCTAAAATTCTACTTGCATGAATAATACACAAATAAAAGATGTTTTGAAAGTCCTTCTTCAAGACTCAATTTAAAAAATTAAACATTTTACAGTCGCAACAGGCTGAGCACAGAACAAAAATATCATTTGGAGGCCAAAAGAGAGTCCATAAAACAAATCCATAAAATTAGTCTTTTGTGAAAGCTATACATGTCAAACTCTTCATGGTAAATGTAATTCATGAATCCATGAAAAGAAAGGTTAAAATAACATCATAAACATTATGATGGGTAATAGAAGTTAATCAACTCATTTCACTGAACATTCTGTTGTTCAAAGATTTAAACAAAAAATGATTCAGACTTACAGATCATGCCCAACAGTTATCAATCTGATTTATGATTATATTAACTTTCAAAGGATGATTTTAAATACATATGCACAATGTATTTAATATACAATAATTAATAACTTGCAAATATCAACTGTCAATCAAATTTATGCATTGTTCATGATTAACAGCAAGATCAGTGTCCACAATGTCAATTGGAAAAACAAATTCTTTAATCAATGTTTTCATCCTCTTCACAATGAAAAGACAGGTTAACATCCTTGACTAACATCATATATATATATATATATATATATACATACACACACATACTATACGCATTCAATGTTTTGAAGACACTCACATACATCAAATACAGTAACATTACAATATTACCTCCACAAGATCTTGAAGACTTTTTACACAAGGACTATCATCTGGAGCAAGGTCACTTTCACTTGTAATACCACAGCTTACACTTGCTGTTTGAACTTTAACATAAGACATTGGAACTTTTTTGGTGTGAACTTCAACAAATCCCTCTTCTGTCTCTGTAAAAATAACATAAAATATGATGTACATAAAGTTTCATGATGATATGCTAAAACAAAAATTGTAGGTTTGATAAAAAAACAAGCAATTTAGAAAAATCATTAGTAACTTGGATAAAACTATCCTTTCTAAGGTTCATACATTTTTAAAGCAAAACAATTCCAAGACTTTTCCAAAACATTTTCCAGGATTAATTGTAAAGTTCCATACCCAAAAAGCTGTTAGGTCAATACATCACCCACAATAAGACAATGTATCCTCCAAAATGACTTCGAAATAACCCAAAATAATTTTAGACCTGATAACTTTTAACCAATGTTTATTATAGTTATCATCTTGCCCCTACATCAGTATTGGATCATTGTATAGCAAATCTAAGTTTCTTTCAACACAAGTGGCTGGACAGTGAAGCCTCACCTATGTTAGCAAAGTCAAAATATTTATATATTTGATATTTCAAACCATCGGTACTTGGTGAAATTCCATAATTACAGAATTGAAGAAAAACAAGACAAATGTATGTTTCACAAATATATCATTTAATATGACACTGGTTTTTTTCCATTTGACTGCACTCCAAACGTGTAACTTTTCTCTCACCATCAATACTACTGCTCTTATGCCCATGTGTATTTCTCATATTCTCATTACTACTGATTATGGATAGTAAATAAAAAAGTAAATTGAAAGATATTCAGATATTATTTTACAAAGAACTGCTTAATTAGGCCTATAATCAAATTTTTTTAGTGTAGCTTGTGTGAAACATCAGAAATTTATATCTTTTTTATATATATAAGAGCTTCATACAGACATTTTAAACTATGCAGTTTAAGCTACAAATAAAACTACAGAAATATTTGTGATTGTACAATATTGACTGTAAATGTACATTTATAAGGTATAGTGTAGCATAATGATGTACAAGCTGAAGATTAATGTGTGTATTATCTAAACTCCCTTGTTTTATAAAAATAAGTTATATACCAATATTTGAGTAGATTAATCTTCTAATAGCTAATATTACCAATGTGGTCCAATATCAGCTAATAACAGATGTATAATATGAGTACTGATACATCTCTAATTTTGAACTCTATAAAACTTATTCTTCTGTGGTATTTCCATAAGATGTTTTGAAATGTTTTACAAAAAAGGGGGATGCCACTTTTAACTCTAACTTACAGGTTGGTGTTATATGGCATCATTCAACAAGAGACAAAAGTATTTTCCTTTGGCTTTATTATACTCTACATCTTTTAGTTTTATATTCACAACTTTTGTTGTTACAGAAAGTATATGATAACATAAAATATATGATGAAAGGAACTTATGTAAAAAATATTTTATTTTTTAAGGGCTATTCCAAAACATCAGCAATAGAAATTCAATTTTTCAAGCACTTTTCCAAGTGAACTCTGCAACTATCAACTTTGCTACCTAGAATATTACTAAATTATTACATGAACTATTAAAGCATTTTACCAAATTAAAAAAAACAGAATGCTTTTAATACATTGGATATAAAAACAAAAACAACATTTCTGAATTCATTATGCTATCATTACACATATACCTTCTTGTCTCTCCAGATCAACAACAGTGTCTTCACATGGCAATCCTTCCAACAATCTTTCTGTTAATCTATTTGCTCCAGCTCTGAGCAACCATGTGAACCAAAGATGTAAGCGAATAAAGACTTCTTTATCATTGGTTAAATCTTTTAGCGAACGAGCTTTGGCATTTCCTCGTTGTCTACGAAAATTGTCAGGGGTTGTCCTTGTGACACTGTTCAGTCGAACAGCTCGTTGAGGGTTTTCAGACTGCTCCATGTCATAAACCTGTAATTACTGAATTATTGATCTACAGGCATATAAAAACTATTGAATTGCTTCATTTGAATTATTTCCCCCTACATATAAAAATAAATTCAAAAATCTATAGGGAAGGTAATTTTATGAAAAATTCAATTTTAAAGGATTTATTTTTTCATAGCAGAAAAAAATTGAATGGCAGTTGGTAGGAGCAGTTTACATTTGAAAACAAAATCACTACTACATAAAAAGTTAAATAAGTAATAAATTCTTGAAGGTAAAAGTGCAAGGGGAGTTAATGGCCACAACTACAGTTAAGTGTCAAATGTTTACAAGTGGGAAGCATTACCAAAGACACTTACTAAATTGTTCAATCACTTCATTATACTTGCACTGTATAGGACTGTTACAAGAAAAAAATAGCAAATAAATATTCAGAACAAAAACAGTAGGCAAAAACACCCAATGCCATAATAGAAAAAAAAACAATGTTAGTAATTTTGTGGCAGAAGCATGCTGTATACTATATATGAAAGAACAACTATTCCCCATATTTATTGATCAGAACACAAACATTTTTATGAACCTGCTCACGTCTTACAAATAATAAAAGTCACAGAAAGCTTTTTATATCCAAGATTAAATGTAAACAAAGCTTTAAACATAACAAGTTATTCATGGGAATAAGGTGACAGAGCATAATCACATGAACAAAAGAATACTATTTGAAAATGAAAATGTATTGTTTTCAGTCTACCATACTGAACAGTGATTTTATTGATAAGAAGAAGCATATTTCTAGTAAAGTGACAAAGTTAGTACAATTTATATTAATATAACTTTCAGTTATACTCTTAAGAATTGTGATTTGGTGTTACATTTTATTTTTAATTCTTTAAATGTTCACCAACATAGAATAATCAATTTTGTTTTTTGCATATGAGAGAATAATTTACTGAAAGTTGTTGCAGTAACATTTAAACTAACTACTTTAGGAATATTACATATTTTCTTTTAGGCTGTTTATGTTTATCACCTTCAGAGCAATTGTTTGACATACTGCTCCTAGCCATGACTGGAGACTAAAACGAAAAATTTTTGCCATTAGGATACATCAATAATTTAAGCACATTCTATTAATATTGCAAGCCATTTTGACATGGGCTGTTATTATTTAAATTACAATGTATATAAAAATATTTATGCTTTTGTGCCATATGATTGAATGACAAATGTCATAAAGTAGCAGGCAACAATGAAAAAGTGAAATGTTACTATTAACTGTTTGGTGATTTGATACATAACTCACAACTCTGCACAAATATAAATTTGTATTATGTACAAAAAAAATGGGGGGGGGAGGGGGGTGAGGAAAATAATTCAAGTGGCCCAATTTCAATAGGTAAATACCATGATTGATGACAAATTATTTTCTCATTTTGGCCTGGTAAATCTTTTTTTAAGTATGATTTTTTTAATTATTTAACAATTAATGTAGAGAATGTTTTTAACTTTTTTTTGTCCTTCTTACTGAATTTCAAAGTAACTGGTATATATTTGTTTTCTCTTAATGTTTAAGCACTGTGATAGTTTTCTACATTAAATTTGTACTTATATTTTCTTTGTTCTATTATATCATGACAAATGTTACTCAGAATAGTCTTTGATATCATGTGATTAAAATAGTTTTAATTATATGGTTCCAGTTCACATCAGGGTAACCTGTCTTGTTTTTAGTTGTTTTATTTGTAAAAAATGCAAAACAAGGTAAAGCAAACCTATTTAAAACAGGAGAATACCTTTTTAATCATAAATAAGCATTCTAATATATCTTTAACAAATTTGAAGATATTACTCCAAGATGAAACTGTTTCAACAAACACTATTTAGTTGCAGATGCAAACTTAGTCAGTAGCCTTTAAAATACTTTTTAAGGAACTTTTTTTGTGTTTTCTAATTTCATACGACCAACTGGACATGTTAGGTTAAAATAATTAAACAAACCTTTCTTAATATGTATATTATTTTTAAATAACCTATAAAAGATTAGTTAAAAATCATTTTTACATTACTTGCATCTACAATTTAAGTTGTCCTCAGCTTCAGTCACAAGTAAAATCCTATTGTTGCTTCAAAAGTAAGCTTAAGTTTCAATTTATTTCTAAAATTTAGTTTATTATAATAAGAATAAATACCTTATTAGCTCTTTCTTGAAGTTCTTGGATAATCAGCTGTAGATGCTTCACCAAAAACTGCCAGGAATTAAGGAGAAATATCTTGTCATTCATAACAATAATAATACTATACCACCGCTGAAAACCACGAGCTTGGCTGTCTTTCATGAAGAAAGTATGGCTGAGAACGTGACCTCTGTGGTCATCACCAAAAAAGATTGGTCCTTCTCTACCTGGACACACCTAAGAAAAAAAAACTTAAAACTCTAAGCAAATGATATCCAGTAAAAATTAAGTCTTTTTTGTTTCTTACCAGAACAATACAAAAACATTACTTGTTAATGGATCTGATATTACATCAGAATAAAATTAATAATTTAAATCACATTCTTCTTTCCTATTCCAGTAAGTGTACAACATAATTTTAACAACTGTCAGTATATTTTACTCTCTTTCCTGATGATATTAATTTCTCCAATTTGTTTATAATTTTTTTTACTTAAGTTTAAAGACTTAGGTTATAAACTAGTAAAATGGTAAACAGATCAACCAAAAAATATTAAAAACTATTTAACACACTTTTTCTCACCTCACAACTTAAACTTCTTACACAAGCTTGTCGAACAATACTAAATACATCTGGGTGAAGTGGAAACTGACTACTAATAAAGCTGACTCTTGCTTCATGGTCATTGCATATATATCCTCGCTGACTACTGGTTACTGATGTACATCCCTAAAAATATAACCATTGCATTACAATCTCTATTTCTAAACAATGGATTTTATCATTTTCCTATTCTGAAAATATATTTCCGATAGATACTTACTTCTTCTCACATATATAAATATTCTCATTCAGTGCTGCCATCTATATGCAAAAATGTTTTGGCATGCCACAAGCCTTACACTCCCACTTACACACAATTATGTGGTTCCACTGAGTCTTGCATGCAAATCGTCATGTCTTCACCAACTAGAATGTGACACAACCTCTTGATGCATGTGCCTCCCTCTATTCGATTCTACCAAACTATCTCTTTGAGTATAGGCAGAAAAGAAAGCACCTGTTTTCAGTGAGGAAGGAAGGGTGGGAAGTGTGAGAAGAGGTAAATACTTATTGGAAACATATTTTCAGTATAGCAAAAATTATAACTTCTGCTTCATATATTCTCACATATACAGTTATTCTCACTCAATGCTGCCCTCTATATGCAAAATTTTTTATCATGCAACAAGTTTTGCACTCCCACCACTTATCCATGATTATTGTGGTTCCACTGCATCTCACATGCAAATCGGCATGTGACAACCTTTCAACAATAGGAATGTGACACAACCTCTACCGAACTATCTCTATGAATTTCGGCAAAAAGGAAGCACCAGTTTTCAGAAGGGAAGGAAGGGTAAGAGGAGGTAAGTACCTATTGAAAATATATTTTCAGTATGCCAAAAATTATAACTTCCAATACAGTACATTACCTCCACTCACATATATAGCTAAAATCCTACACTGAGTAAGTGGAGGGACCGGTGCGAGGGATATAAAGAGGTATCCAAAGAATACCCTATACTTATGATCCTCGTAATAAAGAATCATCTTTGGGAGACCACACCACTTCTGTACCAGGTATACTCTTTACCCAGTGTACAAAGAGGTATCGCAGACACAGGCAGAAAAAAAAGAGTGTAACAATCAAAAGGGAAAGAAAATGGTAGGATTGGAATCCGAACCACCGAAGAACATGTTCTCAATCCAGATGAAGAGAGGTTGTAGATGAATCCTCTACAGACAGTAATGTGTGGGAAAGCATTGAGGAAGGGCGAATGGAACAAGCTAAAAAGAAAATGACCCACTGAGGCAATCTGGATCTCCTCACAAAGGATCTGATAAATACCAAGCGTACAGATGAAGGGTAGGAATGACAGGATGAAATACTGGTGATTGAGGTTAACATAGCAGGGATGGAGTGAGAGGAAGTTGCAACAGAGGGACAGTACAGAGTTTAAGTAGTCGAGGAAACCAGGGTTGTGCCAGCCAGTAAGGAGCAATCAAAAGAACCTGACACAGAGTGGTATGGATGATCAAAATCACCCTGGGAAGAAGATAGATTGGAGGATATACAGAAATGTATCAGTTGGTCCAATCCTGGCTGAACGCATCGACAGGTATGACTTGTAGACTAGGAACTGAAGACCAAAAAAGAGGTAACTTGGCATTGAGCAAAGTGGCAAATGCATCCAGATGTTGCATACCCCACTCTGTGGGATCAATTTTGTCTAGTCTGGAAAGACGATCTCCCAGGAGGTTGAAAGCTCCTGGAACATGACATGCCAGGAGATGTATCCAAGTATGCGGGCCCAAAAAAGCATATATAAAGTTCAACAGCAAAGGAAACAAGAAAAGATATCACCTTGATGGTTGACAGAAGCTACCACTGTAGAATTGTCAAAATCAATCATGACAATTTTATTCTTGACTAGAGGAAGAAATCAATCCAAAGCCTCAGTGAAGAGATGCAAATCTGGGTGAGGAGGAGGAAGCAGTACACTAAAATGATGTTTGGGCCTTGTTCAACCACCAACGCAGATCGTTGATGAAGGAAGGAGGAGTAAAAATGAGAGAATCCAAGGGATCTCTAGTGATATTCTATTGGTCAGGCAGAGTTCACTGAAGAGACTGCATATTTGCCTAACCTAATGGAATAAGAGATTCCATACAAGCCCACATTCCCCAAAGCGTTAGAACCTTGTGAGCAGTAAGAGAGGGAGCATCAAGGGTGTGGAGAACTGAAAGCTCAATCAAATGGAATCAAAGAGAAGGTTAGGAGTTGAAAAAAAGACCCCTAAGTGGAGAAGATATTTGGTAGGAGACAGGAAAACTTCTCCAACTTGATAATCTAACTCACTCGAGCAGCTTCTGAAAGAAGGAGACGATTATGGCACACTTATGAAATGGAAGTTAGATATTTTGCAATATAAGATCAATTGTTGTGGGAGATTTAAACCAATTTTGTAATTAATTCACTCTTACTTCACATGTATCTGAACATTTAGATGGTGTAGAAGCCCCACATCCAGATATCGATACTCGAGCCAGCAGTTCACGTGGACCATAATAAGGCTTAGGAATTGGGGTTTCCTTCACACCCCAAGATAATTCTTCAGGGTCTCTGAAAGCTTGAGTACAAAAAAGGATACTAGGGCCATGTAGCTCACAGAAGTGACAAAGTGCAACAACAGCATTCATCTGGAATTAGAGAGAACATACATATATTATTTTGAACATACTTGTATTTTACAACAGTTACCATATAATATTAGCTCTAGATGTGTTATAATTGTGATCAGAGAAATGTCAATTTATTAATATGGAATGAAATACAAAATACATCTTCCATTTTTAAAAGATATCATAAATCAAAGCATACACAACAATCAGAACAATATATTGTTCATGGGGTATTAATATTTGTCATTAGTAAATGTGCTAAACCTTTGAATGGAGGCAATAAGTACAATAACTACAAAGTTAAAAAATCTAGTAAGATTTGAAACAAAAACAAAGTCACTGACGCAAATTATTACTTATTACAATAAGGTTTATTTTATCTCACATGTACAGTAATTAGAAGCTTGAATAAACTGCCCAAGAAAGATATGTTAGAATGGTGGAAGGATAAATTTGGAGACAAAATCCTGAATAATAGATTAAATAAGTATAAGCTATGGAAGCCCAAGTCAAGGCTGTTTATTAGGCAATGTTTTTAACTTTTAGAATTCATAACTTGTAGAATTTTACAAACTGTTAATGTAAAGACTCTATAAAACTTAAGCCGGATATAAAAATCATTTGTACTGAGTGAGTGTAATATTCAAGGATAAAAGCAAAATTAAAATATTGAAAATATACATTAACATATTTTAATACTTTATTCCATTTCTCTTATCAAGCAATATTAGCATTTTGAAACATATTCTACAATAGCTGACAAGCACTTTTGGAGGTTGTATATAGAGGAAACTGGAAGGACTGTAGAAACAGAACTAAAAAAGTCTTCATTCTTCACATCTTTTTGGACATGATGACATTATACACATAATATAATGAATAATAATGCTCAGATTACTTATCATGAACCAATAGAAATAAAAATATCAAATTGAAGTAGTCCTTCTAATCAAACAACACAAGTTCCTTATCAATAAACATCATGAAGTCACTTTTTATTCTTTAACAGTTTAACACTACCATCTATTTTGATCCTACACACATATAATTGTATATACCCTCATTAATATAATTGTCTTGTCCTGATGATGCTGGGTTAACACTGCTGTGGTGAAAGAATAACATGGTGGTTAGAGCTGGATAATTAGTGGTATTTGCTAATCAATTAATTGATGGGCTTATTAATTTATTACATCTAATTAATTAATAAGTACATCATTTCCCTACAACCCTCACACAAACACAAAAAGAAAAGTTTCCATCTTTTAGGTTTCTGAAAATATCTGATAAGAAACCATGATTTGTTTTTAACTTGGCCTTATACAGGTACAGTCACATTATTTTACAATCATTTAGAGACAAAAAATTAAAACTGCCAGACTAAACAACAAAATATTCTACATGTTGTTGGCTAAAAAAAGTTAAACTGATTGAGTGTTGGTCTAAATAATCACTCATTTGTGTAGGCACTAAAAAATTCCTGTTAACATCAGTGCTAAGAAAGGTAGAAATACTATTTATACAAGCCTCTTTCATGGTGTTAATTATACATAAAGAAACAAAAATCTAGAAAAATTACTTCTGACCTCAAATTTAACAAATTCTATTTTACATTTGGACAAAATGCTTGATGATTCTATAGGTATTTTTTCAAAATTCTGCATATTCATCAATACAATAGCACTGGCAAATCAATTTTGTTGGAATATTGTATGCTATGTTTTGCATCTAATATTTGTATATCTATATTCATTCATGTATTGTATGGTTTATAAGATATTAATCATTATCATTTTACAGTACATATATAATACTAAATGCATGAACTGAGAAAGAAGTCATTGTCCACATTAATGTTACCCTGAATGAAAATGGTGTTTACCTTATATATTTATGTACACACATATACATTATTTATTTTAAAGCAGTTTTTATTATGTTATATATTCTTCCTACAGATGACAAACTTTACTGGGCTCATTTGGTAGGCAAAAAAAGTACTAATATTGTCTCATTAATCCAAGTATATTGTTACTGTATGTGTGACTAAGAGTTTGTGGATTAATGTGGTACTTATATTTGTGTATATAATTCATGTTTAACGCTTAGAGGTATGCATTTTTAAACTTGTGTGTGTATATGTTAGACCTAAATTGTTCATCATTTTCAGAAACTTATGGACTCCCCTGAAATGTACTCAGAGTATTTTCTAACAAACATGCAAAAAAAAAACTACTTGTCCAAAGGGCAAATTATAGCAGCAAAACTTCTTGTCTGAAATACTAGGACAAATGAATTCCACATCCCTGCTATAGTATTAAGGAATGCTAAACATTGAAATAAAAATTCTTTATTGACATCACAAGTATTAGAATTATTACACACATAATTAGGTATACTAAATAATTATTATCATTCCAGATAAGTATGGGATGGGAGGAGGTATGAAAGTTTTGCACAGCAGTAAAACTCTCAACAAGGAAACAATAAATCTTATCTAATTCATAAGGCTGTACATGTTTTTGTGTGAAGTAGTTAAATTACTGTTGAATAATATTAGCTAGACTATGTACTACAATATGTAAGCATAGGCCTAGATTAGCTATAGTATTATTTGTAATGTATTACTAACAACAGTGGGGCTAATACTCAACTACTATCATACCTGGCCTAATAAGTTGAGTACCAGTTTTAACTTGCAAGCTAGTAAAGTAATATTATTATTTGTAGTAATTTTTGGAATATGAAGATAATTTGATTTATTGATATCAGGAATATATTCTAAGTATGATCAAACTTTTAAATTAGGACTTGAGTGCCTAATTATTGTTGACTAATAACAGATTAGGCTTATCAAATGTACTGCTATTATAGCTGCAATTCAGTTAATTGGTAAATTACGAAACACGCTATATAAATTGTATTATTATATAAATATCATCTAAAGACTAGTTTCCCTTTATTTCAAGGGTCAAATTAATTGATTTAGTTTTCAGATAAATTAGAAATAAAATAGTGTAACATTTAGTCCTCCAACATGAAGCATAATAGTGTTGTCAATATACTACTTGTATTTAGTGTTAATTATTCATCCCAAGACTACAATAATTAAAAGTAGTGTAGGTGTTAATCTCTCACTTTGTAGGGTGCATGAATGCATTTTATTTGAAAACTTAATTGGTATGTATTTTTAAGAAAGCTAGTATTGAAGATGTACAGTTTGTTTGTAGAGCTTGTAGATTGGAGGAGAAACTGGAGACTATCCTAAATAGAGTAGAGGAAATATAGAAGTTGAGCATGTGAGAAATGGCACCAGTAATTAAAGACAAACTTAAGCTTCTACATATTAAGCTTTTTTATATTATGGGAATCATTGAGACTTGGCTAGATTTAAACAATTCTGATGATAAAAATTTATTTGAATTATAAGGTTACAAGTTGTGTAATAGAGATAACAGTATTTAACAAAAAAGTGATGTAGCCTTATACGGGCCACAAACTACACTCTGTTAAAGTTGTGGATGTTGTGACAATCTTCTTCCATAATGTGGCAACTGAGCCATTGACAATAGTCTCAATTAGCTCAATAAAGACACATTAATGAAAAACTACTAACAGAAAACCTACTACAGCTCAGGAAATTTATCATTTTCAAGGCAAGGCCATTTGGCCTTGGATTTTCTCTCATTTTCAAAGGCACCAAGACCAACAGCTAGGGTACCAAGGCCAAAAAAAAAAAAAAATTCACCGGAAGGCACTAAGGCCACAGTAAACATTAATGTTAACAGAATAGAAATGAGTTTCCCAATTAGTTTAGTAAATATGGCATTAACTTTTTTCACTAGATAATTGGGAAGCTGGTCTATCCTACCAGGTTATGTTTATCAGGTAGGTACATGTTAGCTTTAACCAATGAGACTTATGAAGTAACAGTATATCAGTTTTAAAATAAAGAAAAAATTTATTTTTGAACTGCTCTCTTATAAAGGGAACATCAACAAAATAAAGCTTTTGTCTTGAAATAACAAACGATATTACTAATAGTATTTTTTTCATACTTTCTAACAAAGGCTAGGGCCGATAAACAGTAAACTAGGCCCACACTACAGTATAACACATAGCCATAACCTATATATCACACATCATCAAACATTGCATTGCTCAATTGTAATTCAGTAACCTCAACCCTAGATAGCTAATGTGGTAGTCCTAAGCCTTTGGTGGGTTTGCCCATAAAATTTACTGACCCGATTTATTGACATATCCTGTTTCCCTTCCATATTTAAAAAATCAGGATGTAATCTACATATTTGTCGATGAAACAAATGTACCAATTTCTGCCACTTGGCCATCACAGAAAAAGGTTTCATGACATTCTACCTCTTAACTTGTTCCTTTTTCGGCATGTTTAATGCAAAGAGTATTTACAGTTGCGCATCTTACTCTGAACAACGTATGTACGTGCTGACTTTGATCGTCACATAGTGCTGTCACTGTGAATCTTTCTGTAAGCTCTGCGGGTTTGTTGTTTGAACAATGATTTGAATTGCTTGCTTCCACTAAGAGCCTGTAGTATGGTATAACTCAACAAACTGCACAAATATTTTACAGACCAAAGCAAAAACTTCACTCCCTCCACTACATGGATTTTATATAAAATATTATTCATAACAAGATAGTTTCTGTTGGTTGTAAGTTCAGTGTTTGTGATTCCCAAAGGTTTTCCCTTTACCGCAGTATGCAATACAAATTTTGACCATGAGGGCATGATGGCCAAAGAGATACCAAGGAGTGGTCATCATGGCTGTGAATTTTAGTGATTTTCTGAGGGTACCACAGCCATTTGAAAAATATGGCAGCAATTACCGCTGTGAATTGCCTGCCCTGCTACTAACAAAAACTCATTATCTAACTCATCAGTTAAGCACTGATATACTGCAGCACAGCATACATTGCTGTCCCATGTCTGTAATAATTAATGTAATTATACATAAAAATGAATCAACAATTAAAGAGAC